ATATATATATATATATATATATATATTAGATGATTTATTATAGTCCTGAGTTTCTTATCATAATTGCTAATATGTAATCTCTGACTAGCCCTTTTCTTGTAAGAAAATATTTATGACTCTACAAGTAGCAATCACAGTATAGTTCTAGGGGTTTTGCGAGTTTTGTGTAGGGCGGTAAATGGTGAGACACTTGTGTTAATATTTGTGTGAACCTCTTTGTATTCTGAGTAAATTGTATGTATTCTGTACTCTGTTTTATATAGTGAATCGGTTATCTCCTCTTGTTTGTGGATGTAGGTCGATTGACTGAATTTACTCCTTTATAAAATGCTTGTATCTTTTTGGCATATTTCTCGTTTGGCTTTTTACTTGTGACTTTTCGAGGTTTGTTTTGTTAGCTTCAGCATGGTTACCTAATGTGCCCTTCCTCTCTCCCTCGTCCTCCCTTGATATAAGCAAGAAGATCCTTTCTATCTTATTAGTCAAGTGCAATAGTTGTAATTTTTAAAAAAAATGTTAACTAGAAATAGAAAGTGTTTCGAAAGACGCCTTTTTTGCCTTGGCGGGAAGGACCTATGATAAAATCCGCCTTGTTTATCTTGACAAGTTTTTGGGATGTTGCTAATAACCAACGAATGACAAGTGCTTTTTCTTGTGTGAATCCTATTTTAATGAGACCTTTATGGGTAAATCCACTTATACATATTGTTTTGAACTGTTATATCGAGAGTTGTGCCACGTATTGCTTGATATAAAACGGATAAGTTAAATATTTTTGTCATTTGTTGAATGTTTTTTCACCATTTGATAGATAACTTGTTCGATGGAATGTCTAAACAAAATGCGTATGTGTAGAGAGTCCCACATCCCAGCTTTTAAGGCAGGGCAGGGCGCGGAGGTACACATGCCCCTGCCAAAATTCTAGTTTTGTTTTATAGGTACATATGTATCAGTATTGACGTATCTTGATACAAGTTGAAGATTACAGTGGTTAAAATGTTGCAAAATTTTCTTAAGTTTGTGTGTTGAATAGCGACATATTTATAATTTTTTTCATATTATGAACCTTGTTGTTTTTCAGGTATCATTAAAACTTGTTTATTTGGCCATTGGTTCAGGTGTATCAGCAACGCTTCGTAAGTCTTAAAGAACTAAGCTAAGTTTTGTTTCAAGTATGAATTAATAGCAAAAGTTGTTAAAAATTTGTGTTATTTGTTTGGTAGAGGTTGGTTGTTGGACACTAACTGCAGAGCGACAAGCTGCACGACTAAGGGTGTTGTATTTAAAAAGCGTTCTGCGACAAGAAGTTAGTTTCTTTGATAAGGAAGTAAATACAGGTGAAGTTATTGGGAAAATGTCTGGTGACATTTTTATCATACAAGATGCTATGGGTGATAAGGTACTATGATATATAAAAAAGTTCGGAAAATATGTAATATATATGTATATTATGAATTCTAACTATTGGTTATGGTTAGGTGGGGAAAATGATAAGGTGCATAACAATGTTTGTAGGAGCATTTTCTATTGCGTTCATCAAGGGGTGGCTTCTAGCACTTGTTATGATTTCACCTATCGTTCCACTGATAATAGTTATCGGTGTCATGTTCCTCTTCATGTCTAGACAGGCATCCCAGTCACACAAAGCTTATTCTAAGGCAGCCAATGTAGTTGAGCAAACACTCGGTTCCATCAGAACAGTATGACTAACTTAACGTTTATTCATTTATGTGTTTTCGTAATATGCCAAGTCTAACTTAATGTTATAGGTTGCATCATTCACAGGTGAAAAGCAGGCTTTCGAGAAGTATAACAAGTCCTTAAAAAAGGCATACAAATCGGGTATACATGAAGGACTTGTAAATGGCTTAGGCTTCGGATTGTCCCAATTTATTCTCTTCTGCAATTATGCTTTGGCTTTCTGGTTTGGTGGAAAGATGATCTTGGAGAAAGGTTATACTGGAGGTTCGGTGTTGACCATAACTCTAGCTGTGTTAAATGCTTCAATGTGAGTGTCGATGAATCTTCAAATAATGTTTTAATGTGATGATCTATCATTTACATATGTTCTTTTTTTTGGTTGGTAGGTCCATCGGTGAGGCATCTCCTTGCTTTGCTGCATTTACAGCAGGGAAAGCTGCTGCGTACGAGATGTTTGAGACTATAAACAGACATTCAGAGATTGATGTGTACAACAATAGTGGGATAATTTTGGACGACATCCGTGGAGATATAGAGATAAAACATGTCTGTTTTAGCTATCCGAGTAGACCGACAGAGAGAATACTCAACGAGTTTTCGTTGTTAATCCCAAGCGGAAAGTCTACTGCTTTGGTTGGTGGAAGCGGAAGTGGAAAGTCCACAATTATTAGTTTAATTGAGAGATTCTACGATCCACAATCAGGTGAAATTTTTATAGACGGACGTAATCTCAAAGAGTTTCAGGTTAAGTGGATTAGACAGAAGATTGCTCTAGTAAGTCAAGAACCTACATTATTTTCAACTAGCATCAAGGAAAATGTTGCATATGGGAAAGATGGAGCCACCAAAGAGGAAATCGAAGCAGCAATTGAGATTGCGAATGCATCTAAATTTGTTAACAGACTACCCGAGGTTGGTGTGTTTTTGTTTGATTTGATTAGAATATATGATGTACGTGCGTACGTAGATGATGTTCAATGGAATGAACTTTTTCCTGTAGGGAATAGAGACAAATGTCGGTGAACGTGGAACTCAACTCTCTGGTGGACAAAAGCAGAGAATAGCTATAGCAAGGGCGATTCTGAAAGACCCTCGTATTTTACTTCTAGACGAGGCAACAAGTGCTCTAGATGCTGAATCAGAGAGTCTTGTACAAGAAGCACTTGACAAAATTATGGTTGATAGAACAACCATAATAGTCGCGCATCGCCTCAGTACAGTGAGGAATGCTGATAATATTGCTGTCATTCATCGAGGCACAATTGTTGAGGAAGGTATAAACAAATGTGTATGAATTATTCTACACATTTTCTCGAAGCATTGCTCAACGACTTGAGCCAATGTTCTCGTATATTGAATGCTAACACTCATCATACATCTCAGGTAAACACTTTGAGCTATTGAAAGATCCTGAGGGAGCATACTCGCAACTTATTCGCTTGCAGGAAGTAAATCAAGAAAAAGAGCAACTTTGCCTCGATGATTCACAACTTCTTTCTACCGAGTCAAGACCAGAATCGAGTGAAAATCATGATACTACAGAAGTTAAAGGAATTCCTGAGACTATATTGACAAAAAGTTCAGATGCGAATTTAGAAGTATCTAAAAATCTCGAAAAAGGTCATATTATTCGCCTTGCACATCTGAATAAGCCCGAGTTTCCTATTCTTCTTATGGGAGCAGTAGTTGCAACATTTTCTGGTTCCGTCCTCCCGGCTTTTGGTTTAATGTTTTCCAACATACTTAAAGCATTTTATGAGCCACCTGATGAACTAAAGAAAGATACACAATTTTGGTCACTCATGATTGTGGTTCTTGGAGCAATATTGCTGATTTCATCTCCACTAGAGACATTTATATTTACCGTGGCTGGTTGTAAATTGATTCAACGAATTAGATCGATGTGCTTTCAAAAGGCTGTCCACATGGAAATCGGTTGGTTTGATGAGCCAGAGAACTCTGTTGGAGTGATAGCCACAAAGCTCTCTAGTGATGCAGCTATTGTTCGAGTTCTAGTGGGGGATGTATTGGCAAAAATAACTAAAGATCTTGCAGCTGCAATTATCGGGATTATGATTGCTTTTCAAGCAAGTTGGTTATTGTCTCTTATTATCTTAGCCATGGTACCGTTTATGATGGTCAACATTTATGTTCAGAACAAGTTTGCTAAAGGATTTGGTACTGATGCAAAGGTTTGTCAAGAAGCTTTGAAACGATAAAATGTCCGTTAATCTGCAACTGAAACCTTACTTTTGTTTTTGTTGTTGCAGAAGTATGAGAAAGCAAGTCGAGTAGTCAACGATGCAGTCAGTAATATAAGAACAGTTGTTTCATTTTGTGTAGAAGAGAAGGTGTTGGAGCTATATGAAAAGGGAAGTAATGTCCCAATAATGTCCGCGACTGGAAAAGAGATGATTAGCGGTATCAGTTATGGTATTACGTCTTCGTTCATTTTCCTTGTATATGCAGCAAGTGGCTACGCTGGCGCTACCCTTGTAGATAATGGAACAATTTCAAATTCTGCTACTTTCCGCGTAAGTATTTACTTAACATGCTTCAGCAGGCAAGACAATAATATCATATAATAAGTCCGCCTTATATGTCCTCGCAGGTTTTCCTTGCTGTGTTTTTTACGTCTATAGCTATTTCTAGATCAACCTTTATGAATGATTTTACAAAAGCTAAGACTGCTGCTGCTTCAATATTTTCTATATTAGATAGAAATTCAAAGATAGATTCGAGTAAACAGGACGGTTTAACTTTAGACCAAAGCAAAGGAGATATCGAGTTTAAACAAGTGTGCTTTGCCTATCCAACGAGGCCAAACATCCAAGTTCTTAACGGCTTCAGCTTGACAATTTCGAGTGGCCAGGTATATATATATGACTCAAATATCCGTTGCTCATTTAACATTGTGAATTTCATGAATTATGAACGTTTAGATTTGATTACGAACATACAGACAGTTGCTTTAGTCGGAGAAAGTGGCTGTGGAAAGTCTACAGTGATCTCACTCTTACAACGATATTATAATTTTGGTTCGGGTCAAATTATGCTTGATGGGATTGACATTCAAAATTTCAATTTGAAATGGCTAAGGCATCAAATGGGGCTCGTAAGCCAAGAACCAATTCTGTTCAACGAAACCATCCGAGCCAATATAATGTATGGGAAGGAAGCTGGAGATGCAAGTGAAGCAGAATTAATAGCTGCAGCAAAATTGGCAAATGCACACAAGTTCATTTCTAGCTTACAGCAGGTTAGAAAATGGTTCAATATAACGTAACGTAGGACTAGGAGGCTTACTTTTTTGTGCTTGTTCAGGGGTACGATACCATGGTTGGAGAGCGAGGTGCTCAGCTTTCAGGTGGTCAGAAACAACGTATCGCCATAGCACGAGCTATTTTGAAGAATCCTAAAATATTGTTACTTGATGAAGCCACTAGTGCACTTGATGCGGAATCTGAAAGGGTGGTTCAAATGGCATTAGAAAAAATAATGGTCGATAGAACTGCGATTATAATAGCACACAGATTATCAACAATTAAGGAAGCAGAGGTAGTTTGTGTTATCAAAAACGGAGTCGTTGCAGAGGAAGGAAACCATGATACTCTTCTGGGTAACGAAAACGGTCACTATGCCTCTCTTATTAAACATCATATTGGGTATAGATAATTTCATTTTCTGTTCGTTCTTAATACGTACTACGGAAAAGGGCCAAAAATAGCATTGGAACATCGCAAAAAGGATAATTAATTTGCCCTTTTGTTTACATTTTCCCAATTTTGTACCTTTTGTGAAATATAAGATTAGCTGTGACAACTTTACTATCACAATACAAGACAAATGGTAACTGGAGTGCAGATCGATGAAGAAGAAAGGGCAAGCACCGAAAGACAGGAATGATCAAAGAGAGGCCTGGTATTTTACATTAGAGTTTACCAGCGATAGGTAGAACACCGGCTCACAAACCAGATCCCTCCTTTTTTTTAGAATTCAACATTTATGATATGTTTTGCATCCTGTTCGCCCACTCGAATCGCATATGTTGGTTGAGAATTGCTTGGGAATTCATTCATAATGACTTTGTCAGGTTCTAGGGTGGCTACTCTTCAGGAAGTCATTGCTAGTAGTAACAACTTGTCACGATCCATTGGTTCATATAGAATCCGACTCACACAAACCGTCTTTTTTTTTCGATTGAGGGGTCGGACTCCCTGAAAATATAGCATCTCGTAAGTTTCCCAAAGAAAGACACAAAAAAGTATCGGGAAAGGAAAAAACTTCCTCGTTGGGGCTCCGTGCACTGGGAAAAGGTTACGCGACAAGAAACTGACAAGGACTTTCACTTTCTAAATAGAAAGGAAGAGGTCAGGCCCACCTTTCATAAGAGTAGAAGTTGTTACTCAACACTTGTATTTTGTTCGACCAATTCGTTAGGATTTTGCCTTGATTTATCAAAGGGAAAATGGTTTGATATACCCCTCAACTTTGTCATTTAGAGCTGATATACCCCTTGTTATGAAAGTGGCTCATATATGCCCCTACTTGTAAACAAATGGCTCACATATACTTTTTTCCTCTAACGGAAATGAAAAAAATAATAATTTTCAATCTAAATTTTTATTATTTTTTTCTAAAAAATATAATCCCATATGAGTAAATTTAATCCTCGTCAAACATTTTTTTTTTACTTCTTTTTGTTTCAATGACTAATTTATAGTTATTATTTTGATAATCAAATTTATTTATGTTTCACTAATATTCTTGTAAAACTTATTGTAGATGTCCAAAAAAAATTCGAATACGAAATTAAATTACAATACACACAAAAAAATAGTTTAATTTTTTTTCTTTAAACTAAGGAATGAAAGAAAAAAATAAAATAAGAATAAGAAATTCAAATAATTATAATAAAAGAGTCAAAAAATAATTTTTGTATGAAAAAAATTAAAATATACCTTGAACTTTTATAGAAGAATCATATTTACCACTAAATAATTTTTTTGAAAAAAATTATAAGTAATAAATATAAATTTAAAACTAATTATTTAACTTTCGTTAAATGAAGGGTATATGTGAGCCATTTTGTAACGGCAGGGGTATATGTGAGCCGTTTGTATAACGGTAAGGGCATATATGAGCCACTTTTATAACGAGGGGTGTATCAGCTCCAAATGACAAATTTGAGGGGTATATCAGACCTTTTTCCCTTTATCAAATCATGTTTGAGTTTTACGCTTTTATGAAATGAAAGTTGAAGCATTATGGAATAATTTTTCCGGAGAGGAAAATATAACTAATTTTCTTCAATATTTGGTTATTCTTTTCTAGGAAAAGGGTCTGATATACCCCTCAACTTTGTCATTTAGAGCTAATATACCCCTTGTTATGAAAGTGACTCATATATACCCCTACTCGTAAACAAATGACTCACATATACCCTTTTCCTCTAACAGAAATGAAAAAAATAATAATTTTAATCTAAGTTTTTATTATTTTTTTCTAAAAAATATTATCCCATATGAGTAAATTTAATCCTCGTCAAACATATTTTTTTGACTTTTTTTTGTTTCAATGACTAATTTATAATTATTATTTTGATAATCAAATTTATTATGTTTCACTAATATTTTTGTAAAACTTAGTGTAGATGACCAAATTTTTTCTTCGAATACGAAATTAAATTACAATACACACACAAAAAAATAGTTTAATTTTTTAATCTTTAAACTAAGGAATGAAAGAAAAAAACAAAATAAGAATAAGAAATTCAAATAATTATAATAAAAGAAGTCAAAAAATAATTTATATATGAAAAAATTAAAATATACCTTGAACTTTGATAGAAGAATCACATATACCCCTAAATAATTTTTTAAAAAAACTAGAAGTAATAAATATAAATTTAAAACTAATTTTTTAACTTCCGTTAAATGAAGGGTATATGTGAACCATTTTGTAACGGCAGGGGTATATGTGAGCCGTTTGTATAACGGTAAGGGCATATATGAGCCACTTTTATAACGAGGGGTATATCAGCTCCAAATGACAAAGTTAAGGGGTATATCAGACCCTTTTCCCTTCTTTTCTTAGAGGAAAAAATTTGGAGATCTATACTTATTTTCATAGCAGAGTACAATAGTATCGACAACGGAGTCGATAAGGAGTTTTGTTAATGTGGAGTTTCGTTGAGTTATGTCATAATTGCAAGTAACCATTATAGACATCCATATGTACCAGCAAGGTGTGTGCATGACCGAATTGGTTCGGGTTTTTCAAATATAAAACCAAATTATTTTTGTCGGATTTTGAATTTATAAACCAAATCAAATCAATAAAACTTGAGTTTTTCAACTTCGGATTTCTTCGGAGTTTTCGGGTTTTTCGATAGAGTATTCTTATAAACATATAATTTGCTTGTACTTTAAATATTTCTTTAGTCCTACCAAAATGCAACTAAGTTATTTCTCAAGAAAATAACAAAACAATATGATATGATTAATGACACTAAAATATTTAATAAAAATAATAATAAAATCGTGTAAAACATATTGAAAATTAATAAGTCATAATGAAATTGATCATAATTTAAAATACTAAATCATGCTAAAATAAGTATAGTAAATATTAGTTACATGACTAAATACTTAAAAAAAGAAGAAGTAAAATTAGATCATGTATTTTAATTGTCTAAATCTATATAAAAATAAAAAACATATATTCAATATTATTGTCATTCTTAGTGTTGAATTGATTTTCTTTTTGCATAATAATAATTTGATTTTTATTTAAATCTTATTATAATTGTCTAACATATATGGACTATAATCTTTATTAGATCATTAAGAATTTCAACTTTCAAACATGAAATAAATATACTAAAGATAAAAACTATAAAAAAGTATAATAGATATTTAAAAATTATATCAAAATAAGTATTTTACGTATAAAATAAAATTTTAAACTTATATATATAATGTCGGGTTGGTTTGGTCTCGGGTTGTTTTTTTAGTTGAAACCAAACCAATCCAACTATAGTCGGGTTTTTTTTCCAACACCAAATTAAGTCAAACCAAATCACTAGTCGGGTTTTTTCTCGGTTTGACTCGATTTACAGCTTGGTTCGATTTTCGGTTCGATTTTGTACAGCTCTAGTAGCAGCTCTATTCCATATTAACTGAGTTTTTGAGGCTTTTTTTATTGTTCAAAATTCAAGATGAATGTTTGAGAATTTTTTCATATTAGCTCTTTCATTTAATGAAGTTTGATACTTTCTAGGAGATAAAACACTTTTTTATATGCAAAGTTATATTTATGATTTCATAAAGGGCAATAGTGAAAAAGTAAGGTTTGAATTATATCTTTGAATGTTTTCCTTAACAAGTATGCATTGTCTCACAAATTCGTTTATTATAGAATAGAGGCTCAAATATGTTATCGAACTTTGAGAAAATACTCATTTATGTCATCCTTTAAAAGTTTGGTTCATCTATACCATTTTCGTTTGAGAAAGGTCCATCCATGTCATTATTTTATTTTTTATTTTTTATGACAAGGAAAAACCACAGTCGCTATCCTTTGGGTGCGCACTGGGTAAAACCTCTACTCCTATACGATAGCTTGCAAACCACATAGGAGAGGTAACCCGCACTAGGAAAGCTTGGTGTGACGAGCTCAACCCAGAAGGCAAAAACCCTTGCTTTCGCTGACAAGGGTTTTCGAACTTGAGACCTCTATATCAGTATTTATTAACTGAAATGACATAGATGAGTCTTTTTCTCAAAGTTTGATGACATATTTGAGCCTCTGCCCTTCAAAATGATTTAATTAATGTTATGACCGAATCATAACTGAAATACATGTTAACAATGAGATTTGATGTTTTTCTCAAAGTTTGGTGACATATTTGAGCTTCTGCCCTCTTAAAATGATTTAATTAATGTTGTGACCGAATCATCGTCAGATCATATTATATTATAACTGGGAAGTCCTTTAGCTCAAAGTTGGATAACGAATTTGCCTTCCCTTGAACATTATTTGAATATATATAACATTATATGAAAATAAAAGAATAATAACCATTTAAATAAACCATGAATAGGGTAAACATAAAGGCAATTGAAAGTAATAAATCTTTTTTCCAAGTGAATAATGACTTTCTTCAGGTAAATAAAGAAAGTATGTTTATCTTTAAGTAAATCATTGCATCTACATATACATTTCAAAAGGCATGGAAGATATAGGAACGCTATTTTAGTTAAGAAATCGAAAACTTTAAGACAATCATGAAGAACATATGAAGTGTGGTGTCTGCAGAAGAAACATATAATCATCAAGAATGAATGATGTGATGCAATGCATATCTCACCATCCCCAGCACGGACGATCTCCACGTGCCCAACTTAAACTCAATCTCATGTCAATGCATGTATACAATATTATTTCAATATAAGGGGATAATGATGCATCTCACTCAATCAATATCAACATAATAAATAACCACCTCAATTATCACAACTATACGGGTGTAATAAAGAAAACACAATCACACAAAATTTCAAGTCAATAATATATCAGCTAATGCCCATATGCTTTGGAAATTCTCAAATTACAATCCGCATTATATAGTAGTAACTTTTCGTTTTATAACACCGGTACTCGTACCAATGCCCGTCACATCATTGATACGAGACCTCCATCTTTCGCCCTTACCCATTTGTCTCTTTTTTTTTAATCTTAAATTAGAAAAAATATCCTTCAACAAGTCTAAAAAGTCTTAACATACCTTAGATGCCGAACTCGTGCCACGAATCTTTTAAGATTTTTCCTTTCCTTTTCACAAGGTTTCGGAACGTTCTCAATCTACCAATTATGCAATATTCGTAAGTAAGCAATTTTTGTAGACATTCAAATTATTATACGTCTATCATAGACGCTAAAAACTCACTCATATTTCCAACCAAACTCCAAATCTTGATATATAGTGGTATGCCAAATTTTTCATACTTGCTAAATTTCAAGCCAAGAACTTAACTCTAACCTCTTCAAATAGACTAAAATTCAATGTTAGATTATATAAAATAACACCTAATAATTAGTTACCTATCTCAATATATCAAACTTAAATCTTTATTTGATAAATAAAAAAAAAACATCTTAAAAATATCAACAGTGAAGTGCACTGTTAAGACGACCTTTGTTTCTTTTTTCCGTTATATACTATATCTAGTTTCTATTTCTAATAGAAAACATACCAAATGCCAATCATTGGCATTATTGCCTAATGATTGGCTTATAAGTTTGTCCCCCATTATTGATAAATATTACCTCCATAAGAAATAATTTAAACCCTTGACAGATGTACTTGAATCTCACATCAATAATATAATAAGGATAACAATTCAATTTACCCTTATTCAAGTTTGCAATTCTATTCGACAGAAAATTGTAAAAAAAAATAATCGTTCTTTTTCCTTGCCTGAACGACGGTTCTTCTCGGACGCCTAGGTATTGACTATTGAGTGAGCAGTTATCACTATTTCTGTTTCCCTCAAATTATG